TGTGATTGGTGGTATGGAGTGTTCATTTGTCAGCATTTCACAGACTGGGAGGGGAGGTACTTGCTGACCACCTCCAGGAAGAGTGAGGCAGTAATAAAGCACTCTTTTGGTCTGACCTGGGACTTTGGATGCAACATTACCTGTAGCATCTAGATATAGGGTCAGCGGTGTCTTCTTTCTCAGGTGTTGCACAACTATGTTTACTCCGGTTTCAGAATACATATGTACTCCAAATGGGTCAACTTGAAAATGCTGTATGTACCCAGGCATCCTGCGATCATTTGAGTCACATTCCTTAATGATCATTTGTGTGAGGTACATCTCCATGAAAACATCCTCATGGATTCTTTTACCTCTTCTTACTTCTGAACGTATCACTTTGAGAACATTTTTGTTCAGACTACGGCTTATGTTTCCTGAAATCAGTTCAGCAACAGGTGTTTTTTTAAGTTTACTGTAAAATACTTGACTCACTCCTTTATGCAGGGCTCTTGCAATTCTGCCTCTTCTTCTGTTTGCTGCTGGTCGGAATTTTGTCCCATTTGCTTTGTGTGCCATTTTCCCTCTTTGCAGCACAGATATTTTAACAAGGGTGTCTCCCACTGGCTGATTTTGGATTTTAAAGAAGAATTTGGAAATATACTGTATAATAGTGACGCTATTGAAGATTATACCATATTTATTGAAGATTTGACACTATAAATATTCACCACAATTATTCAAAAGCACATTCTTCCAAACTCTCTGCTGTAGTCTGACCACCAGGAGACTATTGATGTGTGTGGTGAGTTTGGTAGTAATAAGCTGTATAATAGTGAAGTGATTGAATATTATTGTATTCTCTTTTTCCGGAGTTGCACTTTGTAGACGGTCCCTGAGCACTTGTTTCTTCTCCGGCTGCGGATAGAGACCAATGTAATGTGTCCAGCTCGGAGGACGGCGCATATTGTTTTTGTTTTATCAACATGTGATTGTAGTTCGTTGTCAACCTTACCACAGTACTTAGGAGACGTCATTTGTGTCTGAATAACGTTTTGTTCATGAGTTATTGATCCGTGAAATCCGAATCTGCCAATATCGTTCTAACTTTACTCAACTCTGATCTCGCTCTCCCGTCAAATTAGACTTCATTCGCGTTTATGTCCATATCGATCAGATCTAGCTAGTTCTAGCTAATGATACTAGCCTACCTGCTAAAAGACACCTAAACAATAAGTGTCGCTATGCAACTGGGTGAGGCCACAAAGTATAGCGCAGCATTATGCATTTGTTTACATGCCCACCGGAACCCCGAGGCATTACGAACAGATCAACGCACAATCAACCCATACAGGACATCTCTTTCTCCACATGAAGTGTTAGACATTATAATTGACTATTCATGTCTGTCACATACTCTTTTGTCTGTCACATAAGTCGTGCAAGTTGCGCAACTGATGTGGTATTGCGCTAAACGGAAATTATTTTGAACGGACACTTTGACCGGAGAGATTTAGATTTGCCGGTCTTCAGCATATTTTACCGGTCGTAGTCCGGTAATTACCGGCTAACGGGAACTCTGATGCCTGTAGTGAAAAGTGATTTCATTTTCAGAACTCAAATACCAGTCAAATTAGCACCTTGTTTGCCCTTAGTGTTTCTGTGGTTGCCATGGTTAGCTGCAGCAGCAAGTTGAAATAGAGTCATCATCATCTCATAGCAAAGACAAAGCAAAGAGCCACGTTTAAATTATTTCATGAGGCTCGTCTCGCTCTATGAAGCCATCACAACAGATATCCACAGATTAACGCAACCTCTCAAAAAGTGCTCTGCAGCTGCTTTCTGCAAATTGCCTTTCGAGACGGTTACATCAGGTGGACAAATTGACACCATATGCAGCCTGAAGGCGCCTCGCTGTGGGATAATGTGTAGCGCCTGTTGATACGTTGAATTACATCCAACATGCACTTTGTCTTCGCTAATGCCCCTTAATTTTTAAACGCGGCCCAGATTCTTCGGTGATCTGTGGTAATGTGAATCGAAATGAGTGATAATGATGTCATCATCGGCATAGAAACTGTCTCAGCATTCTGCCTGGCTGGTTTTATCTATAGCAGTCTCATCATGGTGGCACTTCCCCTGGTGCCTTTGTACGCTGTGAAATTGATGTGTCATCCCATTGTATTTGAAACTCAGGAGGCCTCAGAAAGAACATTATTCCAAACATCACTCAGACCCCACTTCACTGCTCCTCTGTAGTGTTGGCTCCGATAGTCTTGTTCCTGTCCTCCCTGCATTGTCATATGTTCAACCACAAGATAACAAGGGAAATCTCGTTGAAAGGCTTAATTTATTATTTGGGAAACATTTTTCTCATCGCTGATTTGGCAAGGGTATGCAACAGGGGCATAATAACAGTGTGTGAGAGTTATAACAGGTCAAACAGCGAGGTTCCTCCACAGCATGTCTGTTGAAGGCTGTGAAGGCAGAAGTTGTTATTTTTTCCGGAAATGTTCCAAAGCTATACATTCTATTAATATAATTCACAGCAATAAGAAATGTGAAAACGTATCGGCACCACTGTGGCACAAATAGATTCATGGTGTCAATCGAGGTTGTACATGTTCCTACACGTACATCTGCAGCATGATAATTAACTTTCCTCTGAGGTCTAGGATCATGCTGGGATTTCTCTACATACTTATCAAACTCAATAAATAAGACGAAGATCTCACTTGAGTTTCAGTGTAACTTTTTTTGTCATACTGCATATATCTTAGCAACAGAAAACCTTGGCAATGATATAAATAACTGAACAGAACATGTCAGTCGGTGTCTCTCAGTTTCACTTTTGTTTAGCACTTAATAAGATTCAAAATGTACCTTTCATACATATTTAAGCATATTTTGAATGTACAATATATGAATGTAATTAACGTGTTATTTAGGTATTAATGTGTGCACATGTAAAAATGTGTCTTTGACTGTGTATATATATACATATTTGCACACATATTTTACATATTTTTATAGGCACTTGTTTTTATATTGGGGATTGTGGGAAACGGTATTTCGATCTTTCTGTCTGTACACACAAACTGGAAGATTGACAATAAAGTTGACTTTGACTTTTGATTTCTTCCTAATATTACCTTACGGTGTCAAACTCAAATACACAGTGGGCCAACATTTAAAAATGGGTACTAGTCGAGGGCCGGACTAGTTCAATGTTTATTGCAAAACGTATTGAAATGAACTTATTGCACATATTAAACCTGGAACTAACAAAACGTAAATTATTGCGCATTAAAAACAACATTAAACATTAAATAATCAGTTGCATATATATATCTGTTGTAATTTATTGTCTTTTATTGTGATTGTAGTAATGTGTTTTTTACATGTACAGCACTTTGGCTCGACCAAAAATCGCTTTTAAATGTGCTATATAAATGTGCTTTATAAATACAATTTTATTTATTTGATTTCTTATGGCTCTATCTGCAGCTTTTCCAGAGTCATTTCTTATGATCACATTTTTCCACAGGCCAACAACAGCTTCAAAAAAACTATTTCCCTCAAAGAAAAAAACAATCCTGCCCTGTTGTTGCAAGAAAGAAAGTGCAGAAGGAAACATCCATTGAAAGTCAGTGTGCTGCTCTGTGATGCTAGTTCAAGCAGATACTTGGCATCTCATCTTGGGTGCAAGGTCATCAATGTTTGGGGTCAGGCTCTGAGCTGAGGAGATCCTCAGGATGGAGTGAAGGTGTGCGTGCAATATACCGGCGGGACAGATCTAAAAGAAATAAAAAATTATCCTGCGGGCCGAAATTAAATCCACCAAGGGCCTGATTTGGCCCCCGGGCCTTGAGTTTGACACATGTGCCTTACGGTAAATCCATGCTGCTTGGACTAGCAAAACAAGGTTAGGTGTTTGCTTTGTTGTTCAGATTTCCAAACAATATATTCAACTTTTACAAGAGAAATGGTTCATAGGTTGAGGACTAACCAGTTTTGTTGGGCAAACCACACAACATCTTAGTAGAAGTGTGGTGGGAAAAGATGGAGTGTACATTTACCCAAATCCAGTGAATAGCTGGAAAAAGCTGCCAATGTTGCCATAAACTGCATTCAGGATCATGATTTACCAGCACTGTGAGATGGAAGGCTAGAGGGTATGTGCTTAATCATGGCTTTCCTTTACCTAAAGTGTAACCCTACACAGTAATGTAGTTAGTAAGAGAAATGCTAACTGAAAGTACCAGCATTGCTCTCTTATCAATGAGCAAGTTAGCCAAAACTGCTAAGGTTTCCTGATTATGTTAGAGCAGATGAACACACTGTTTTTCTTATATTTTTCCTTGTGTTTTTCAAGAAAGCTGGTCCGGGTTGCGGGACCGCCAGTGTCCTCCTACAGTCCCGAGGGGACGTATCGTATACCAGTATGTATACAGGGGGGTACACACCAGGCTCTGATGGACACAGGCTGTAATCAGACGATGATCCATCAGCGCTTGGTTCGGCCGGGGGCATTGGTTGAAGCATCGTGGGTGAAGGTGAGGTGTGTGCATGGGGATATTCACCAGTACCCAGAGGTGACGCTGGAAATATCTTATAAGGGAAAAAAGCATAGAGTCAGTGCTGGAGTTAGTACTCTCCTTACGCACCCTCTGATCTTGGGAACAAATTGGCCGGGGTACACCCGAACGCAGCACACACTCACCCACACTTTACTGTGATTAGGGATAGGCTGTATCGTGTGAGCCGTGACACACAGACAGGAGAGTTAAATACCCAGTTGTTGGTACCAAAAAGCCGTCTGGAAATGGTTTTCGAGGCGGCTCATCATAACCCCATGTCAGGTCACCTAGGCTAGGGTACGACAAATCACTACACCGGATAATGGCCCGATTTTATTGGCCGGGCATTCACGCAGATGTGAAGCGGTGGAGCCATGACGGTGTAATCCATCTCTCTGAAACATTCACTCGTATTTCACACTTCCCATAAAACAGTCCGTGCTATATATAGAAATATTTATTAATAACATCTGAATAGACAATGTACACATTCGTCCTTAAGTTCGTAATATATCTTGTGTTAACAATTTGATGAGTATCTCACAACAGAAGATATATTTTAAAAATGATTTACAGAAAAATTATCCATGCACTATACCTACGAACACAGAATAAATTGTCATTGTTATTTGTGACGGTGTACAATATGTACATAAACAATACTGGCATTAATCTGAACTTTCAAAAAACAAACACTGGCTTATTAAAACAACTACAGGGTGTGGTCTAAATGAATTAGGTCCAATACCATTCAGTTAGGGCTGTTGGAAGTATTTTTTTCAGAATGGAAAACAACACAATCAATTATTTAAATGAAAATTAAATACTTGACAGGATTCTAAATAGTCATCGGATTATTTTTGAGTGGGGTTTAAACTTGTACAAAGCTTTCGTCAAAATAGGTATTTTCCTCACGTGTTTTATAATGTTAGCCATAAAACAAACAAGTAACTGAAGAGAGTCGACGGGCACCATTTGCAATCAATCAGGGAATTTTCACTTTTTTCTTTAACTTGGTGTTAGTTCCTTAGATTTGTCCATCATATCTATCAGTTAAGTCACCAGAGTAATTCCCAATATCTAAAGTAGTCATGTGGGCTGAAGTAACAAACAGACTATCAGAGAAGCTAACACTTTAAACCTCGAAATCTAAGGTAACATTTTAACGGGGAAGCTAGTCTGTAAACTGTTTATAATGGACAGTTTAGGTTTAGGGTTTAACTTTTCTCTTAATCCCCTATCTACCCACTATATACTACCCAGTGAACAACACACAGCTGACAAAGCTAGTGACTATCTAATGAGCATAGTGAGCCATTTTGAGACAGACATTCTGCTTAAAAGTTGGTGGAAACCCAAAACAGAGCTCAAATAAAATCTTCCCCCTACCATTGAAAATAATATATATGATATTATTATAATATATAATAAGTCCAAATATACAATTATACAGGTTTGGAAGTAACAAATGTATACATCTACATTGTAACCCTAGAAAAGTAATGTTGTTAATTACAATTAGTTGAGGCTTGATGTTGATGTTTTATTCTGAGTTTGGTTATTTAAGAAAAGTTGTTGGGTTAGGGTTAGGTTTAGGGTTGTTTAATTGTCTGAGTTGGATCATCCAGGAGGCTTTACAGAGAAAATGGTTGTTCATTATTTATGAACCGATGTATGCTCAGGCTGCCAGCGTCTGTCTTTAGGGAAATCATTTATTGTACGATGGACATGAGGGCTTGGTGGCGTTTGATAGTGTGATGTTTTTCTGCTTGTGCCTACAAGCATTTACATTGTCTTTGTTTTGTTGGTTTTTTCCACAGTAATATCCTCTTGCATTATCATACAGCGAGAATCATGAGCACTTCCAGAACATGCCCCTATTACTGCCACCACCAAAACCTTGTCCTTTATTTTGACCACACCCTGTTAACAAATAATGACAATTTAACATGCAGTTAATAACACATGTTATGTTCCCTCTGTAAGCTACATTTCCCGTTCTTGGTGAAAATCCTCTTCAATTTATCTTTGAAGGAAGTGTTCTGTGAGAAAGTCGCCCATAGAGGTAAAACTAAGTCTTATACTAAGAATCTTCATTGTTCATTTCTTGAGTTTAGGCAATGCATGATAAGTTTGAATGTTGGCCAAACTATTGTTCACAAGAGCTGAACATGTGTCGATCTTAACAGAAAGTGCACTCTTAGTCATTTCTAATTATGTCTAACTCTTACTGCATCTATGATCACACAAAGCACAAGTTAAATCTCACACATTGGCATATAAATTAAAGATTTTGGTCCATTTACTGCAGTTTATTCAAAATAATAATAACGCTGGACCTGTTAGATAATCTCAACATGTTTAAATTGTGAGTCACAACTTAAAGTAACAAATGAAAGTACAGTAGTAGTACAGTTGGAATGTAGTTAAGTGATTTTTGGTTGTGAAAATACAAAAGGAACTAAGTAGCGTTGGTTAGCTTTCGCAGCAGTCCTAGCACACTTTAGCCTTGTTTAATCTATTGACACAGCAGTGTGAGTAGAAATGACGTTCCTACTGTAGATGTTAGTTAGTCAAACGTTGTACTGTATGTTTCCACATTTCAATTGGACTATCTTCAAGTCCATCCCTATAGTTCTACCAACTTGAGGCCCTGTGTGTGTGGTGTGTGTGTGTGTGTGTGTGTGTGTGTGTGTGTGTGTGTGTGTGTGTGTGTGTGTGTGTGTGTGTGTGTGTGTGGTGTGTGTGTGTGTGTGTGTGTGTGTGTGTGTGTGTGTGTGTGTGTGTGTGTGTGTGTGTGTGTGTGTGTGCGTGTGGTCATGGTGATGGTGGTGTCTTCAGGGAATTGGTGGATCCTCTTTGGCTTCCACTCCCCGTCACTACCGTTCCGACCCACTGGACCACGTCAGGGATGAAATAAAGAGGGAAAGAGAGAAAGAGGATGAGGTTAGAATTCAAACAGAGTAAATCAAAAAACTTAGAGTTGATCTTATTAGGACAACAATCATGTAGATTGTTTTCCTAATAAGATCAACTCTAAGTTTTTTGTTTTTAATATGAGAGCCAATAACATACTGTTCCATTGTGCCTAAAAAAAGTCTAAATTACCTAATTCTTTATTGACCCTATATTAGTTCTATGAGGGTCCTGTCAAGGCTTGTAGAATGGGAATGAACTTTCCATCGACTTTGGCTTTTCACGGCATCATTCACCAATAAAAATTGGTCCCAAAAAGCTGAATTTAGACACCATTGTTGTAAAATGTCAATTGTATTTGCACACTTGTTTCTTATTGCTAATGTCCAAAGCTTGAAGCTTTAAACACAATGAATAGGCTATTGGGAGAGGAGCCAATGTATATCTTGAGCTAAATCCAGTGGATTTAAAAAATCTTAAGAAAATGTCTTCCATATGGAGATAGAATGCTTTTCTTCTATGTTTCCTGTTGGGGAATAATTTGCTTAGGTATTCAACCTTTGACACAGTTCATCATTTTCTCCTCTCACTGTCTCCTTTCCCATGGCATAGGTCTTGGGTATTGCTGCTATCTCTCTTAAATGTGTTGGTGCTTGAAATGAACCGGATTCCGGAGCTAAGATGCTGCTCCGCTGCGTTGTGAACAGGAAAACCTTTTCAAGCTCCAGCTCCGAACCGGCCCGGAAACACCGTTGGTGTGAATGAGGTATCAGAGTCCTGTTTCCAATTGCTTCAGAAGTTTCCCCCACATTTCCAATTTAGAATATATACTGGAATCAAGTGGTGACAAACCAATGAAAACCACTGAATAAGTAACCTGCATGTCCACTCATTAAATGTAAATCATGTCACAGTAATGTATATTTTGTAGAACAACAATGGGCACAATGGTAATTTATAGCTCCCAGCTTTTAAACAAAATGTTAATAGATTTTTCGGTGTAGCCTACTTTCCAAGTTTGTTCTTGTTAATGTTGAAAGGGTCTAAAGACAAAGGGTTTTATTTGCTTATATTGGGCTGTAAAAATTAATATATTGATTAATAATATATTCTATTAATAGAAATGTTGTCAAATTAAATGACTGCTTTGTTCAATTGTGTGGGGTTGTAATCACAGATCATAACAACAATAAACATGAACAAATTATGAAAACTTAATTCCATATGTAGCCTATAGCTCTGCTATTGTGCATGCTGGCCCACTGCAATAGTTTAGTAGGAAACTTACGCTGCTAGCACAAGTCACAATAGTTCCCCAAGCATTTTTTTCTGTCCTGTCCCAATTTACATGTTGTTCTAAGAACTGTTCATCATTTCATTCATTTAAGATGTTTTATTAAAGGTACAAAAGGCTATCTGAGTTCCAGAGATGGAGTACTCGAGTCCTGGACTCGGACTCGAGTGCCGATTTTCGGGACTCGTGACTCAACTCGCACTGATTGACACGACTCGGACTTGGACTCGTGAATTCTCGCGTAGCTGACTTGGACTCGGACTCGTGAATTTTCCCCCCCACGATGACTCGGACTCGACTTGTACATTGACGCTCTGACTTGGACTCGGACTCGAGCAAGTTTTCTCTGGAGTGTCCTCTATCCTGGCATGCGCCAGGGCCCTGCTATTCCAGTCTAGAGATATCTAGAGACACACCCCGCATCGTGCTGTATGCTTTCACACATTCTGCTTCCACATTGGAAAAGAGCAGCGCAAAAATGCTCGTTATGTGGAAACAATATTGAAGAGAAGGCTCCGTAACACATTACTCTAAGGATCGAGTTCAGACATAGCTGTCTTGAACACTATCATCAGAGTAACGTGATCTAATCAATAAATAAAGATTCAGCCATAACACGAAAGCACATGGCTACTTAACATGCAGAATGATGTCATTTTGCATGCTAAGTAGCCATGTGTTTTCTGGGGCTAAATCGATTTAACTAAAAGTTCCTTCAAAATAAGAGTCCCGATCTTATTACTATCAAAGTGCAAAACGAAAACTTTACCATAGGAAAATATTGGCATACAAATATAATCACTCATTTTAAATATAGTTAGACATATTAAAGGTCATTTAGAATAATAATAATAATAATAATAATAATAATAATATTAATATTAGTAATAAGCTTTATATTTGTATAGCACCTATTACAATAATTGTAGCCAAACTCGCTTCACATCAGTTCAATAGACAGATTAGTATAACATGACAGGATAAAAGCAATGTAGAGGAGCAGCTACATTTCAACACATATATCCACGAAGGTTAATACATGAAGACTTGTGACTCGGACTTCACTTAGACTCTTCTTAGGTGACTCGGACTTGGACTCGGACTTGAACATAGGTAATGATGACTCGGACTCGGACACTCCTTGGGTGACTCGGACTTGGACTCGGACTCGAACACAGGTAATGATGACTCGGACTCGACTCGGACACTCCTTGGGTGACTCGGACTTAGACTCGGACTCGACCACGACTCTCCCTTGGTGACTCGGACTTGGACTCGGACTCGTAGAGTGGTGACTCGAGAGTGACTTGGACTCGTGAATTGGTGACTTGACTACAACACTGGAGTTAACAATCTTGCTAAGTGCTTCTTAACTGTCACCAGTGGCGGCTCCAGGGTATGGCTGGGGTAGGCTACAGCCATACCAAGAAATGGCTTAGCCCCACCATAAAAAATGATGTTAAAGTAAGCAAAAAAAAGTCCGCCAACTCGCGCCGAGTAAATTGCACAGACAGCAGCTAGTAAGATTGATTTCAGCAGCCACTTGTCTGGAAATGCCGAAGACTAGAAACGGTTTTGAAAACGTTTGTCACGTAGTGATCGTCTTCTCAATAAAACATCTTTGCTAATGTCTTCTGGCTAATCAGAATCACGATAACGGCGTGGTGTTGCTGCCACACGCAGTCCCGACGGAGAATCATTTTGCGGTAGAACTTCTCTTTATACATCCATGGATACAACATTACGTGTTGATAGAAATCGAAATAAGACCCCACGGTTTGATGATTGATAGGTGTGTGGGCTGTCTTTCATTTTGACATACAAACAATGGGGGCTATCCACCCTTATTCACAATGTAAACTAATTCACAGCCTCTTCCCTCTTCTCTCTGTGAGGAGCAGCAGGTTCAGCTTTCAGAAGAAAGTAACACAAAACTAAAATGGCATTCATTTTTTTTAAGTATGTCGTGTAGTAATAGATTTTTTTCTTCTCAAGAGAGTACCAGAATGTGTATTTTATGTTAGTATTTCAAAAAATCTCCTGGGGGAGAATCCCCCCAGACCCCCCTGCAGGGGTTGGGTTTTCAGCATGTCAACTCTTTCACTTGTGGGGAAATTGCAGGATTGGCTCCAGGTCGCCCTTTTTATTTACTACAAGACAAATGTGCCTTTTTATTTCATACAGTTCAATTTCGATTGAGACAGGGAAGTAATCTAAACCTCACGCGTTTCACTGTCAAGGGGAGCGTGTATGTAATTACATTGCAAATCCTGACTTGAGCCCCACCACTGTATGGGTTAGCCCTACCATAGATTACCCAACGAAAATACTCTGGAGCCGCCACTGACTGTCACTTAGCAAGCTTGTCAGCTCAATTGTTAATAGGTCAACAAATTCCCAAGTTTACTCAAAAGTAGTATTTGTTTTATTGATTGCTGCTTCATAACTGCCTGAAAGTGTTTATTTCTTGTACGGCAGTGGACAGATAAGGTTTAAAAAAGTAAATAATGCCACACAGCTAAAAAGCTTCTTCCATTTCGGATTTTCCTTTGTTCCTGCAAAGCTCAGCTGTGTCAAGTCAATTTGCTGTTGGTCAAACAGATTGCCATCAGCTCAAACTCCTGGGGCAAAGTTGATAAATTCAATTAATGCTTCCTTTCTGGTGTGGCAAGACATTAAGAACATTTTTAAATATCAGAAATGATACCAAAAGTTGGCTTGCGAACAGACTACATGTCAGGCAAAATGGAGGCAACCAAGCTTTCTGCTTTTTTATTTTCCTTTGCTTTCCGCTCAATAGCATCAGCTTGATGCTTGAAATGACCCTGGGGAATTCAATAGCATTTTGTCGTTGGTGCTAGCCTTGTGTGGATGTGTTTACAGTCTTGTCTGAAGAAATCAAGTCGGAGAATTATTAATTCTGTCAGACTGTGTCAGAGGGTGAGTGAGGTTAACTCAATCTCTTAAGAAACGGCATAAAAGCCTCAAGCTGATAATAAGACTGCATGTGTATGTGAGCGTGAGACATACAGTAGACTTGTTGTTGTGTCGGAATACTTTCTGTCTGCACATCACCAATATGCAGACCGAAAGTTTTTTAGAAATATTAGGGCTAGGAAAAAAGTGAATCACATTCCAAAATTTGACCCAGACTTTGTCCTGTAATTCCAGCCCAGATTTCTACCACGCCAAAATGGAAACTGCTCTCGTTTCTTAGGTGTGATGAAAATGGAGGAAAGGCATTCGGCTGAAGCATTTTATAGCCAGTTTCTTGAAGTTGCACAGGAGTGTGAGTGCACAAGATCACCAACGTAGGAACAGGTAGTGCTTGCAATATGATAACGACAGCAAGAATACTATCATATAAGAATACGCCCTGTGTAGCGCACATTATACGGAGGGCGATCACAGCAGCTCTCCATGACACCAGCTTTGTTGATGCATTCGCTAAATGAATTGTCAGTCTTCATGCCAATAATTCAGAAATCATCAAAACTAAGCTGGGAGTCTATAATAAATAAAAAAGAACGCTATGATTTCTCTCACCACTTTGTCATGTAGTTCTTTCTCGGTGTGTGTGTGTGTGTGTGTGTGTGTGTGTGTGTGTGTGTGTGTGTGTGTGTGTGTGTGTGTGTGTGTGTGTGTGTGTGTGTGTGTGTGTGTGTGTGTGTGTGTGTGTGTGTGT